TCAATTAAAAAAACTTTAATACAAAAATCAAACGGTTTAAAATATTACTACAATTAGGGAAATGAATTTGCAAAACATATGATAAAATTGTACTTACTTATTAGTGCAATCTAAAGATTGGTGACACTTTGAATTACGTAGCAATTGGTTTTTGCGACAAGCACGCCTATTTGTGGTACATTTAGATTTGCAGTCACATTTTCTGAAACCCTGCCCAGTACCAAGGGATTGTTTTATTGCTGTTTGACGTAAAGATATTTCTACAGCAGGGACATCCATCTTCTTTCGTTAAAAATCTCTCTTTGCAAACACTGAATTCAGATTTTGCATACAATTGTTTTAAAATACCTGTTTTAGTATCAAGTTTATAAAAGCCATCCTCTGTTTTACTAAGAACCACAGCTAAAATTGAACGTGCATCAGTTTTTGCATCAATCTTCTAATTTTTCAAGGTCTTCTTCAGTTTTTATCGAATGTAATACACTTTGTGGTATAATAGAAGAAGACTGGAAGAGTAGAAAAATTAGAAGATTCACAAGAGACTGTGATTATGAGATCACAGTCAAATCTTACTCAAGAGGACATTCCGTTATCCCCTGCTTCTACAGAATCACCTATAGAAATACAAGAATTTATCGATAATAATTTTAAACTGCCTTCTATACCGTTGATTGATGATACAGTCACGAAGAATATTCAGTTACCCTGCACCTTCAAGGAGTCACCTCTGCAAGTTGAAGAAGTCATCACTGAGTTCAGCAGAACTCAGTGATGACTTCAGATCTCAACTTCAGCAGAATCGCCATCACAGTTTCGTACAGAGCCTGTAAAGAGCACTATACGAGACATAGTCTGTATTGTTTGCTAAAAAACAGCATCAAGTGCTCACAAGTGTAAATCGTGTGATATGTTTGTTCACGCAGTTTGTGGTGAAGTACATCCTAAAGAGGGAAGGTATGGTAAGAATGTATTGTGTGAATCATCTGTAAAAAAAAATATGCATCAGAAAATACAGCGTGATGAAACCAAGAAATGTTTAGAAAAGCAAGCAAAGAAAATGTTAGCAGTTTCTAATGCAAAGCACCCAAACGTCGATGAAGGAGTCACTGTGAGAATTAAAGTACCCGAAGAAGACAGAGCACGTTCAATTTTAGCTGTAGTTCTTAGTAAAACAGAGGATGGCTTTTATAAACTTGATACTAAAACAGGTATTTTAAAACAATTGTATGCAAAATCTGAATTCAGTGTTTGCAAAGAGAGATTTTTAACGAAAAAAGATGGATGTCCCTGCTGTAGAAATATCTTTACGTCAAACAGCAATAAAACAATCCCTTGGTACTGGGCAGGGTTTCAGAAAATGTGACTGCAAATCTAAATGTGCCACAAATAGGCGTGCTTGTCGCAAAAACCAATTGCCATGTAATTCAAAGTGTCACCAATCTTTAGATTGCACTAATAAGTAAGTACAATTTTATCATATGTTTTGCAAATTCATTTCCCTAATTGTAGTTTTTTTAATTGATTGATGATTGATTCAATCAACTAATTTGTTGATTGTTTGATTGTATTAACTTTAGATATTGAAAATTAAATAAATAACATTATGTTAATTTAAGCGTACAGAAACGTTGCTGTTGTTCCAGCAAAAATCTTATTTTCACTTTATCGAGTGCCTAGTAGATAATGTGCAGATTACCTAGATACTGTGCACATTACCTAGGTAATTTGAGAAATAGAACAATTTTAGCAACTTTAACGGATCACCCTAGTTAATGTGCACAATTAACGGATTTCGAGCTTTACCGGTAACATATATAAAGAATTGATGCTTTATATTTAGAACGTTAAAGATCATGTAGGTGTAGGTGAGGCGATAGAGGGGTTGTCATGTGTTATATTTCGAGTGGAGTTGAACTTAATGAAGATTTTAAAAATTTCTGGGATATTTTGTACTAATAATTACGAATAAGAAAAATCAAATCCGTTTTAGTATATGTTTAAAAAAATGAATATACAGTAGTAATGTACCATGAAAATGCTGATGTATTCACAAAATACTTTATAATAATAATATCTATTTTATATACAGTAGAGCGTCGATTTTCCGAAAGTCAATCATCCGAAAGATTTCCAGTCGGCAAATTTAAATTTTCGCCAGTGCTGTGGAGCTTTAATCTTTGGCTATGTCTTGGGCTACTCAAATATTTTACGTTTTAAATACTAAATTAACATCTGAAGTATAATTTTTTATTGTTTTTATATTTTTCAATATATTTATTTTGTTTGTATAAAAGAAAAAAATAATTTTTAACGATACAATAGTCTTTGTTAGGCTTAACATCGACGGAAATTCAACGCAAAGCGACACGCAACGGAGAAAAATTTTAACATCGGATACGTTAAATTATTTTTTCGTACATAAATCGGTTATCCGAAATATCAGTTATACGAACAACCCCAGTCCCCAATTGATTCGGAAAATCGACGCTCTACTGTA